CTCTCCTAGTGCTTCCCAGGTCGGCTTTATTTCTGTCTGTGTTTCTTTGCATGCAGTCTGCTCGTGCACAGGATGGGTTTGCGTGCCTGCAGCTCCCCGTGGGTCTTGTTGGAGGGGTTGTGATGTGGGCCTGCCTCAAGGGATGCGATGGGAGTGATGGATCAGGATGTGCCCCCACGTTTTGGAGTACTGCCACAGCACAGGGGGGAGAACGGCCTTGCTTTGAGGGGCACCACCTGTAGCCCCTCTGCATGATCCACCCCGAAAGAGTCACAGCATGGAGGGGTCTGGAAGGGGCTGCCCATGCAGGTGAGAAGGCCAAGGAGAGGCTAACATGAGAGATGGTTAGCAGCAGTCAGCAGCTACTAATTATCCCACGCTCCAGCTCGTTCTCAGGAGAGCTGCAGAACACTTTGATCTGCCTGTGTTTTGCTTTCTAATTGGATTGGGGTTCCGGATGCTGCTGGCTGTGGGGTTTTGGGGAGCTGATGGGAAGAGAGACGTGTGTTGGTCCTTAGACAGCAGCAGGGGAATGTTCTGCGTGCAGCTGGAGGGCTGCTTTGGGTCACCATTCTCCTCCTTGCCCCCATGCAGCTATCCATAGGGCTCTTTTATATGGTCTCCTAAATACCCTTTTTCCTTCCCTTGCGTGTCCCTGAGGTTTCATCCCTTTCTCACTCAAGTTTCATGGAGTGCAGAACTGAGTGCTGCCTTCCTCCTGCTCAAGAATTGCATTAAGCTTGCATCTCATTGCTGTCCCACTCTTCCAGTCAGTAGGTTTGCTGATTTAGTGGCCTTTTTCAGTCCTTACTGCAGTAGTGAGTCTGAGTAGAACTCCAAGAACATCAGCAGGGACTGAGAAAGGTCTGTCTGCTCGAGAAGGAGTTGCAGAAGCACCGGTACAGTTAAAGTGCTGTGGATATAACAGCACGATCTCTATTATTAATCCAAATAGAACGCCTTTCTTCGGTTGAGTAATAAGATCAGAAAAATACCTCTCTCAGAACAGCTTCCAAGGTGGGAATGATGCCTGTGGCAAATATCTGGCCTAAGAACCGACCCCAAGGCCAGTTTCCAGTAAGCACCGTGCCAGCTGTCAGCTTAACCATTGACAGTCCCTCAGAGGTGGCAGCTGTGCATCCTGGTGTTCTTGGGGCTGGGGAGGACACTGTTGCAACAGAAGCAACTGCCGGCTGAAGCTCTTTGTGTGAGTGGTAGAGAAGGATGGGAGGGGGAGGGCTGTTTGCTTCCACCAGCAAAAGGGAAACTTCTGTTGTTTTCTGAGAGCAGTAACATGGTAGTGGTGGTTGCGATGAAAACGCCAACTAGATTGGAACAATGAGCATTCTTGTAGTCAGACACAGCACAGTCCCTGGTGAGCTGTGCTGGGTCTGCTTTCTTGGGTGTTAGCAGGAGACAGGGAGAGCCTTGCACTCGTTAGCATATAGATGTGCATCCTAATTGGAGTTTTGCTGTAGCTGTAATTAGCCCAGACCACTGGGACAGGCTCCCTGAAAGGCTGGAAGGAAGGAGTGAGCGGTTGGGTGGGAATAGGCTTGAGCATCTCCTGGATATTTACAATGGATTAGGCTTTTTATTTTAGGGTCAGCGCAGCCTTAACCCGTGTGCAGTGCTTTATGGCTAATGGCAGCACTGCTTCTGGGTGCAAAGCACACGTGAGGAATGCCTGCATGCCTGATGGACTTAAAAGGGGAAAGGGGAACTTGAAAAGATCTCTTCCCTCCACTGCTCGCCCTCATTGGTCCCAGCTTCCTCCTACCTCTTTCCAGGACAGTGAGAAATAAAACGTGTGATAGAACCCATCTTTCTGCCCCTCCAGCTGTTGGCACATCTGTTAGGAGGACGTGATGCAGGTTACCATATGGCTGCAACTGAAAATCTGGCTGCTCCCATAGAGCCAAGCTAATATTTCAGCAGGCTGTCTCTCCCCAGCCAGCACACAGAGACCCTCAGGTTGAATACTGGAGCTCTTCTTGTCTTCTCAGGGCACAAAGCAGAGCAGATGTAACCCTCGTGCTGCACCATGCAGCAGTGCATTGGTGCTTGGTGGCTGTCCCCACCTCTGGAGATGGCTTATGAGCAGAGAGCCCAAATCTGGAGCTGCTCCGTGGATCGCTGCAGTCACACAGCAGAGCAAAATAGGCAGAAATAGAAGCAGGAATGCCTGAGCCCACATGCAGCAAAGTTGGAGCTTGGAAGTGTGACAAACAAATAAAGCTCAGTGCTAACTAGCTGCAGCTTCCCTCGGCCACGGGCATTTGTTATGAAGCAAAGCAAGGGAAAGAGCAGAGAGCTGCACTTCTTCCAGATCACTGTGAAGAGATTGAGAGGGTCTGGCCCTGTCCATAGGTGAGGTTCAGCATGGCTGTGACAGCAGTTGTGCAGAAGCAGCAGCCCAGCTGTGTGCCAGGCACGGTTGCTCAACACCCATTTGTAGAAAGGAGGAGAATTAGGATAACACAGCACCTGGCTGCAGAGGTGCACAGTGATTTAAAGGCTTTAGAGTGTATTAGCACTAATTAACGTGTTGGGAAGCTGGAAGCCAGCTTGGGCAGCACAGAACTTGAGCACCTCCTAAATTGGTCAGGGCAGGCTCTGCCTAGTCTTTAATTTGCCCTCTCCAGCATGCACTGAAGTAGTTAGAACTTGGTGACACCAGAGCCTTGTGACACTTTGCTCCTGGAGGATTAGCTAACAGTTCATCTGCCGAGTCTAAACAGTTGTGCTCTCTCTGTTTGTATACACATATGAGTGAGGGGGCAGCCCACAGCTTATTCTTCTATAGATGCTGGAATGGTGCTTCATGGCGTCTTCATCCCGATGGTCACTCGTTTGTTATTGGTGTAACCCAGCAGCAGACTGCAGGCCCACGGATGGTCCTCCAGAGCATCTTTTTGTTGCTGTGAGTGCAGGCAGGAAGCAAGGCAGAGGGTGATGTACAAGCATTGGGACACAGCCAGGCTTTGGATTAATGCATCATGAGCATCGTTTCACCATCTTTTGATAGAGTGAGTTTTTCCTAGCCATGGAGCAGATTAAAGTAGCACAGAAAAAAGGCTTTAAGATTAAAAAAGAGTCTGATGGAAGCTTTCTTCTGCATTACAGCTTTGATATCTCACGTCTTTCACAACAGTTACAAATTAGTGATAAATAACATCTGAAGAGAGAGGAATAGTAGAGAGGGAAAGATGTGGTTTTAATTGCAATCTGGGCCAACAAAGAAGATAGTTAATACAGAGAGAAGCAGGGGGAAGCTGTCCAGTGGCTGAAACTGCAAACTCGTTTTGCTGGTGAAGTGCTCTTTTTATGCATCTAAATAACAAGTCACATTTAGAAAGCTCCCCCTCCTCTTCCAGGTAGAGAAACGCAGGCCTGTCCAGTGTAAGTAATTTGTGAAACTGATGGCAGAAGGAGGAGGGAAATCCTTATCTGTTAACTTGGTGCTTGAAGCACAATCTCTCCTTGTAATGTGCTCTGCAGGACAGCTCTCTCTTTGCTGCTGTTGACACATTGAGAGAAACAAAAGGTTCGGAGTTTTGTTTCAGGCTTGCGTGATGTGATCCAGAAGTGAGGGACCAGAGGATAGAAAATGATCACTATTTATTCCCTTTACTGTCCCAGTGCTTCTCTGAGCAAATGAAGGATGATGGGTTCGCTTTGCTGGTGCCCTGGAAACACAGAAAGACACAGAAAGTCCTGGTGATTCTTCCCCCACACCTTACAACACATCCCAGTGGTGTGTTGGCAAAGCAGACCTGGTTCTTTCTTAAACCACGCCTGCATGGATTTGCTTGCATCTGTCTGATGGTGAATGTGTTGATGCTCATCCTGGCAGCTTCAGGATGCTGCAGATGGGTTTGGACACCCAGAAACAGCTCTGGTGCTTTATTGCAGCAGGAGAGGCTGGGAGGACTTGGTAGTGAGTTTCAGTGCCTGTAAGGGATGGATGGGATCAGCTGGAAGCTGCGCCTCCCGAATCCTTCCAAACATTACTGAGTTCTGCCAGGAAGCCTCGTGTGCATGCAGGAAGCAGCCTGGCCCACGCCATCCCCATCACAAAGCCCTTCTCTTCCAGTGCCCAATCTCCACCCATAGCATCAAGTGCTCGGGTTTGTTCAGGATCATAGCACAGCCAGGTAGATGCTGCCTGTCAAAGACAAAGCATATTCTCTTCACTTAGGACCAGGTTCAGATTTGAGCCTGATTTCTTTAGAGAGAAAAAGAAACTGAGCTGACTTGCAGTGGGAAAACCCTCTGGGCAATCAGCTTTTCCTGTAGAGGGGAAGGTTTCTGCTCAGAGTGCAGCCTCAATGCCTGCATCTCCCAGTGCCTCTTCCAAGCATTGTTCTTGGTTCATTAGGTGATAATAGAAAGTGATTTTTCCCCTGTCACCTTGAGAAATCGGAGGCATTAAGAATGAGAGCCTAAGCCTGAAAGCCTAAATGAGAGGGTTTGATGGGTCTGTGTATCTGCCTCCTTCATTAGAACTGGAAGAGAGAGGATTGCTCCCAGAGCTTGCATTCCTTGAGGATAAACAGGCGAGGGGAAGGAGCGTGGCCAGGCAGTGTCAGGAGGTGAGGTTTGGGGCTTGTTTTCCATCCCCAGACCCACTGAACCTCAGAAGGCTGTTTGCCCCCACCTGTATGGGTTGGAAGCGGTGGCTCATCCCAGCATGGACCACCAGCAGGTGTGGTAGGAGTGGGAGCAGAGGGGCCAGAAGGAGCACCATGAGATCCTATTGGAGAGCAGATAGGAGGGATGTGAGCGAGTCTTTTCCTCCCTGGCAGGCAGGCAGGGTTAACGTGGCACCTCCTCCTGCAAGGAGATGGGAAACACAAGGGACACATTGGGACAAAGCTGGGCATTGTGGTGCCTGTTCTAGATGGGGTTGGGATACGCAGCTCTCTTCCTTCTGCCACCTTGTAGGACAAGGGCATCTCTTGTGCTGTATTTAAGGGATACTTTCTTTTCACTTCCAGGTAGATTCTTCCTGCACAGTTGCTCCCACGTGGCATCCAAAGGTAGGGAACTCCGTCTTGTTAACGTGCCGAATTTCCACCAACCACATCACTTCATTTTGGGCTGTGTTTGTCCCCTTGGGGCTGTCCTCGATGGACCTAACAGCACACCCAACACAGCTCCGAACACAAAACACAGAACTGAAGTTGGAAGGGACCTTTAAAGGCCATCTGCTCGCACTCCACCAAACAGGGACACCCATCAATGCTCGGAGCACCGACCCCGGTGTGCCTGCAGGGATGGGGAAGCACTGCAATCCTTGCACCAGTGCAAAAAGCACAAAAAGCTTTTTCCTTACGCTCAGCCTCCTCCCCCCCCCCCCTCCACCTCGCGAAACCATTTCCATTCCCTTCATCCCATCACAGCAGGATGAATTAGAAAAAGAAAAAAAAAGAGAAAAGGAGGCAGCTTGCCAGTGCTGTGCCAGGCGTATCGGGGCGGGCTGGCGGTGGGGATGGCCGTGCCGGAGCCGTGCTGGCTGCCCCCCGGCGCAGCCCCGCCGCCCGTCGTTCACCCCCTCGCCCCCCCGCCGTCGGCGCGCCGTTTGCCAGCGCCTCCGCTTGTTGAAATGGGCCAAGTTCGAGGAGCGGCGGCGGCGGCGGCGGAGGAGCGGCTTTGCTCCGAGAGCCCGAACTGCGTGCAGCGGGAGCCGCGTGGAGGGGAGCCCGGCTGTGCCCGGCGGGGGGCGGCGCTCGGGGCTGCGGGCGATCCCCGGAGCTCCGGAGGACCGCGTGTGGGCATCTCCCATCAAAGCCCCGTCAAAGCGGGAGCGGCCGTCAAACCTCCCCCCCGCCCTCCCCCCACCTCACCCGCCCCCCAACGGCGGCGGTCGGGGCAGGTGGAGCTGCGGGAAAGTTCGCCGCCGGTGCGCGGAGCCCCGCGGGCAGAGCCGGGTTGGGAAGGGGGGGAGGGGGGGCGGTGCGGAGGAGCGCAGCGTTTAATTTTAATTATGGCATATAAATAAATAAACCAGGTGTCAGTTGAAAGGAAAAGAGCGGGGGGGGGGGGGGGGCGGAAGGGGGCTGGCTGGGCGGCGGGGAGCCCTGCAGCCTGGCGAGAAGGTGGGTCGATCTGGGGGAATCAATAAGCGTGGGTCTTTTTTTTTTTCTTCTTTTTTTTTTTCTTTTTTTTTTCCCCCTTTTTCTGTGTGTGTGTGCGCGTGTGTGTGTGTTGTGTGTTCTTTTTTTTCTTTTTTTCTTTTTTTTTTTGCAACCAAAATAATGTCTCCGGCGGCACAGACCTCTCCGAGATGTCAGGTTGCAGTCCGGAGGGGAAGCTCTGCGCACCGCACGGCAGCTCCCGGGGCTGCACCGCTCCATTAAGCGCTCCGTGGGAGCCGCGCTGGGGAGCCGGGCCGGGGGGGCTGCCCGTGGGCTGCTCCGGGGGAGCCCCGCCACCCCCGGCACCCGGGCGCCAAAGGTGCTCGTGTTGCTGCTGCTGTTGCTGCTGCTGCTGGCGCGTTCCATCCCAACTCCAGCCAGAGCCGGGGCAAGTTGAGCCGGAGACGTTTGAGCCGCCGCTGCGCTTTGGAGAGACGGGGGAGCGCGGCGGCACCATGCCTGCCATCAAGAAGGAGCGACTTGACAGGGAAGAGCTGGCCTTGGCGGCCTTCAACCAACCCATGGAGACCCTCCCCGACTACCTCGCCCCGCTGGCCGCCGCTGCCATGCCGGTGGTGGCCCCGCACCCGCCGGCGTACGAGCAGATCTTCGCCCACCGCGCGTACCTGGGCTTCCACGAGAGCCCCCACCCCCCGCACCCCCCCCACCTCCCCGAGGACCTGATGCTGGAGAGGTTCTCCTCCATCCCGGATTTCCAGCCCTTCTTTGACAACGGAGAGCCTTGCATCGAGGTGGAGTGCGGGGAGAACAAGGCGCTGCTCTACATCAATAAGTTGTGCCAGGGGAGCAAAGGACCCTCCATCCGCTACCGGGGCGAGTGGCTCACCCCCAACGAGTTCCAATTTGTCAGCGGCAGGGAGACGGCCAAGGATTGGAAGCGCAGCATCAGGCACAAAGGTGAGGAGCCGTGCGGGGCCGTGCGGGGCGGGGGGGTCCGCGGGATGCTCAGAACCCGAGCGGTGCCTCCGTGCCCCCCGCCCGCCCCCCCCGGGTACCCCGAAGTTTTTTTGTTTGTTTTTTCCCCAGCCGGTTTGCGGGGGGAGGAAGGAGAGGAGGAGGAGGGGAGGTGTGCGCGCGTGTGTGCGTGTGCGTGTGTGTGTGTGTGTGTGTGTGTG